TTTTTTTGAGACAGAGTCTCTCTCTGTCGCCCAGGCTAGAATGTAGTGGCACGATCTCAGCTCACTACAGCCTCTGCCTTCCAGGTTCAAGCAATTGTCCTGCCTCAGCCTCCGAAGTACCTGGGACTACAGGCACGTGCTACCATGCCCGGCTAATTTTTGTGTTTTTAGTAGAGATAGGGTTTCACTATATTGACCAGGCTGGTCTCAAACTCCTGACCTTGGGTGATCCGCCTACCTTAGTCTCCTAAAGTGCTGAGATTACAGGTGTGAGCCACCACACCTGGCCAAGACTCTGGATCTTATGGAGAATTTTGACATTGTTTTGACAGGCATTAAAACTGGTTGGGTTCAGGCCACAAGTTCCAACCTGGCTTTTTTTTTTTTTATTTCAATGTCAGTTTCAAAGCCTTTTCCTTTCTAGGCAGATTTCTCCATAGGCTATGGTCTTTTCCTTAGTTCAGTTCTCAAAGTCTTTGTTATGCTCCTTAGGATTAGATCCACATAGGTACAGTTTGGAGGGGCAGCCTAGCAGTTCATAAGCAACTTAATGGGGTCACTTGCCCAATCTCCTCCCTCTCTGTGATGTCCCCAGTACTTTCCCATCCCTGGGGCTCGCTCCCCATTTTAGTTCTCTGACCAGAAAGTGAGACTTGACTTACCCAACTCTGCCAATATCTCATGATTGCACCTGCATCCAGGACAAGATAGCAAAAGGACACAGAGAGAAAACAAGCAACAGAGGTCCAACCCATCTTCTTGGGACCCCATGCTGTATTATCTTACTTATTTATTTATGAGACGGAGTCTCACTCTGTCCCCAGGCTGGAGTGCAGTGGCGTGATCCTGGCTCACTGCAACCTCTGCCTCCTTCGTTCAAGTGATTCTCCCGTGTCAGCCTCCTGAGTAGCGGGGATAACAGGTATGCGCTACAACGCCCCACTAATTTTTGCATTTTAGTAGAGATGGGGCTTCACCATATGGGCCAGGCTATTCTCAAACTCCTGACCTCAAGTGATTCACAGGCCTCCGCCTCCAAAAGTGCTGGGATTACAGGCGTGAGCCACCAGGCCCAGCCCCATGCTTTGTTATTTTATTTCCAATTGGAAGGGAAGGTTCTCCTCTAAGAATTTTAGGTGCATACTGGCTCTTACAGTCACTTCCGTTGCTACCAGGAAACTCCTTTTCTACTCCCTGAGCCTGAACTAGAAGGACTTCTCCTAGAGCTCTCTGTCTGCACTCAGCTCCTTCCAAGTTTTAGGCAACCTCGAGTCCAGCCTGCAGGCTCCTAGAGAGAAAAAAAATGGAGCTGGATATGCTGGCACAAGCCTGTAGTCCCAGTTACTCGGGAGGCTGAGGTGGGAGGATTGCTTGAAGCAAGGAGACTCGCCTGAACAACATAGTGAAAATCCTGTCTCTTACAAACTAATTTTTTTTTAATGGTAAACTTATCACCAGGTCTAGTGGTACTTCAAATTTACATCTTCTCCCCAAATCTACCTGTTACTATTTACTTTTCAGGGACCTAAAGTAGCTGCTTCATGCATCCTGACCAGGTTTTATAGCTGCCTTCTGAGGGAGAGAGATAGGGGAGAGTATATATAGTACATCTTCCTCAAAACTGGGACCTCTCTGGTTGCTTTTAGGATTTTTTTCTCTTTAACTTTGGTTTTCTGCAATTTGACCATGGTGTGCCTATGTGTAGTTTCCTTGTATTTTTCTTGGTTGAGATTCACTTAGTTTCTTGACTTATACATTAATGACTCTCATCAGTGTTGGGAAAATCTGTCATTATCTCTTCAACAATTTATTTTGCTTCCTTCTCGCCTTCTGGGACTCTAACGATTATACATATGGTATTCATTTGATATTGTCCTCCATTTCTCTATGCTTTATTCTTTCTTTTATTCTACATGTTTTCTCTCTGTGCTTCAGTTTATATAATTTTATTCTTCCATCTTTGAATTATCTGAATCTTTTGCTGTGCCTAGTCTTTTTTTTTTTTTCGGCTTAAACTAAAAATTCCTGAATATACCTTAAAATAAAAAATATTAAACTTGGCCAGGGGCGGTGGCTCAGGCCTGTAATCCTAACACTTTGGGAGGCCAAGGTTCAAAACCAACCTGGGAAACATGGCGAAACCCTATCTCTACAAAAAATACAAGAGTTAGCCAGGCTGGTTAACAGTGAGCCACAGTGCCTGCCCAAGTTGAAGGTATCTTAACTTGGTTAAATGACAGCGCAGTCTACCACTTTATAGAGTGTGCCCCAAATCCGTTTAATATAGTACTTGGAGTTAAATACCAATTCCCCTGCCTCCAAGAGTTCAGTGGGAGAGACTACATAGTCTGGCTTCACTTGGCATCCCTTTCTTCCTCATTTCATTTTATTCATAACCAGAGCTCTTTTTTTTTTTTTTTTTTTTTACAGGATGCAAAATGGTATTAACAGAGATAACTCACAGAAGAAAATATTACTTTATAATTTTTTTCTCTCCCTCTTTTTCTCCGAGACAGTGTCTCGCTCTGTCACACAAGCTGGAGTGTACTGCTGCAATCGTGGCTCACTGCAGCCTCAAACTCCTGGGCTCCGGAATTCTCTGTCTTCAACCTACTGAGTAGCTAGGACTACAGGTGCATGCCACCATACCTGGCTAATTTTTAAAGTTTTTTATAGAGAGGGGGTCTTGCTTTGTTGCCCAGGTTAGTTTTGAACCTTCCTGGCTTCAAGCAGTCCTCCCACTTTGGCCTCCCAAGGTGCTGGGATTATAGGCAAAAGCCACCACGCTGAGCCTCAGAAAAGTTTTATGAAACATGTATTAAGTATGTGCCAGGCAATTTACCAAGCACTAGGAGATACAAAGACCACTAAAACATGATCCCTAGCCTTAATGGAATTTTACATTTCAGTAGAAGGACATAAACATCAATAGGTACCACATGATATTAGAAATATGATAGAAATATGCCGGGCGCGGTGGCTCAAGCCTGTAATCCCAGCACTTTGGGAGGCCGAGGCGGGTGGATCACGAGGTCAAGAGATCGAGACCATCCTGGTCAACA